TAAAAAAAAAAAAAAAAAAAAAAGACAAAAAGAAAAAAAAAGAAAAGACAAGAAAAAGGGAAAGTTGCCGTGCCAGAGTTGCAGTTGTGTAATAACTTTGCATCATGTAAAGGTTATGAAACAGTATCAAGCATTGAGTCAGAGCATCTCAGTAAAAAGAGACTTTTACTGTGGCAGCACAAGTTGGGAGAAGGAAATGAATCACAGGGGTCCCAACAGCAAAAGGGTGCAGTCTGTGTGAAAAGCATTTGAGACTTAGCAGGGGTGATGCATTTTACCCCATCAGAATACCTGGCAAGCTGAAAAGAGTCAGGCCTAGGCAGGACTTAAACTAGAAATATCCAGGAGAAACTTAACTTTTTTTTTTTTAAGAGAAGGTGTGGATGATGAAGAAGAAAAACCTACAGAGGACACTGGGTGGCTGCTTGGAAAGAAGGGGTGTTTTGTCTGCATGCAGAGGGTTTAATGCAAACAGACACAGGGAAAATGAGAAGAGATACTGAACAGGAAATAGCAAATTATTGCCTGGGAAGCTTTTGTTCCAGTGTACATTTCAGTTCCCTGTATGTAAACCTTTAGCAAATCATAGATTTATTTGCACAACTTGTGCTCTGCTACTTTAAAAGAGGTGTAACCTGGGCAGTGAGATTTTTTTGTTCCTATCCCTACACCTTGCATTATGTTCTTAAATAAATACTGTTGTTTTCAATTAAAACCACTTATCATAAACTATATACTATATACTTAATATATATATACTTAATATTATATATTATACATAAACTACATACTATACACTTGTTAGATATGTAACATTTATTGCTTGTAGTGTCTCTATTACTTGAGATTACGTAGCAAAGAAAAGGCTACTTTTTTTGTGGTAGCTGTTTTTTGTGTCACAGACAGTGACATAAGTTTGGGTTTAGTGTTGCAGTTTCCCAGGACTTAAAGCCACAACACACACAAATAGTTTATCAATATAAATTAAACAAGTTGAACTAGTGGGTTTCCCCCCCCCCCTTTGTTTCTCCTTTTAGTTTTTATAGCTGGAATCAACTTTGTTTTGAATACCTAGAGAAATTATTGTAACATTTATGTACAACAAAGTGCAGCCTCCACTGGACTGCTGAAGCTGCCTGAAGTCAGAGAAAATGGGCAGCACGGTGAAGGATATGTTGCAGGACAAAGATAAGAAGTGGAAACAGAAATAAGCAAGCAAAGGGGAAGAGAGAAGAAAATATTTCCAACTGTGGTGGTTCTTTAGGACAGTACCTGCTGGGTGCACTGCAGATACCATCTCCAGACATCCAGGTTTCCTCAGGATGGGAATCAGGGTGCAAGAATGTTGTGCAACTCGCCCTGAAGCGGAGCTGGGATATGATTGGGAAAGTAGTTATTATTTCTGGGTTGTGCAATCCTGATGCAGCCGGAGGGGCTGTGTTAGCAGGTCTGTGGTGTGTAATTTATCACCGAGTCACTGCAGAGTATCAGCAATACACTGAAAGGAATTAAAAAGGCTGAGGGACCTCTGTGGTTGCATTATTTTCAGAAAATGTACTGGGTGTTCTATAAACCTCTCACGCTGCACAGATCTGGTGATCTGGTGATAAATGCCCCAGCACTGACAGACTGCACAGACTCTCCACTGCATCCTTATCTTCTGCTTACTCTCTTGCTAAAGACTCACATGAAGTAACCAGAGAGAGACAGACACAGCTTCTTTCTTTGCTTCGTGCTTTCCTTGTTTCTATTTGCCTGCCTGCTTTCCCTTCTCTCATCACTTAAGAATTATTTCAGTGCATTCCCCACATCATTTCTTCACTAATGACTACAACAGAGCAGTATTAAACACTCTCAGCTCACACAACACTTTCAGACTTTCTTCCCCGGGGGGAAAAGCTGACAGAACCCCTGACAAAGTCCAGTTGCTTAACACTGCAGGAAACCACCCTCATATTTTTACATCCAAATAAAACATAAACCCCTTTGGGTTCTTGCTTATCACTTTTTACCAAACAGTATTTGACAGCCGCATTGGAGCTGCACAGATGACAGAACGTGTAGAGAACTAAGCCTGGTGTTTGTTCTCCCTGTAGGCAAAGCACAAGCAGAGGGTTAAAAATCAGTTGAGATCTCGTTAACTTTAAATTTAAGATGCATCCTGGTAAAAAGCAAGTCGAGTCCATCAGGCAGGAGTGTGACAGCAACGAGCTATGCAGATTTTTTTCCTCTCTCCCTTGTCCATCCTTCACCCAGGACCTGAGTGATCCTGTTCTCTTCTCCCCAGCCTTAGTTATATATATTCCCTGCTTAGTTTTTTTTCACTCGTTCATTCTTTTGTCCTGCTTTTGACCTTGCATTGCTTTTTTGTGTGCATTTCTATTAATTTTTGACTTCTCCCAAGGCTTGCCCACAGCCCAACCCTTACACACCCTTTCTTGTTTGCTCTTTACAACCTTTCTTATACCTCCGTGCTTTATCAGCCCCTCCATGCTCTCTGTTTGCCTTCAAAATTCTGGTCTGGTTTTATCACAGGGATTTCTGCTGATCCCATGGATTGTGGTCCCAGCCACTGAAATCTCTCCATTGGATCCGCAGAGCTGTGTGGGTAGAGCCCTGAGAAGAGGGATCAAAACCACACTGCAGGAGCTCCCTTGCTGGCCAGGCTTGTCCCTGATCTCCAAACAGAAATCCATCCCATCAGAGCCGCCACAGTGCAACAAAATCTGTGCTCCATTTCCTCTCAGTTCCCAGTAGGATTTCCTCTTCCCCACTCCCTGCCTCCTCATTCCAGCAGTGCTGACCTTAGCAGTGGAAGTTTTTAAATGCAGGGCAAGACAAGAGCCAAGACAATGTCAGTATGGCACTTTTCTCTGACAAGCCTCTGAAATGCTTGTTGCTTTAAAACTCTTTTATCCCCCTGGGCCTTCCACAGTTGCTCTTTCCTCACTGCTGCAACCTTCCCTTCCTGCTGCCTCCCCCTCCTGCTCGACAGGGGAACAGGAATTGGGTGTATTTGCCTACTGCATGTTTGAAATAAACCCCACCTTTCAGTCCTGCCCTTTTTTACTGTAGCTCTGGTCTGTTCACATTTCAGTAAAGGAAACACAGCTCTTCTGGAGTGCTTGGCTTTTGGCCAGAAAGTCTGCAGTGAAGCTTTTCCCTCCTTCCTTGCTCACCGGTTTTCCTGCTGCCTGTGCTCTTAAACTGAAGCGTTTAAAACATCCTCGAAGTCGCTGCCTTCTCATTGTCCTCCCTGGTGTTTGTTTTCAGAGGCAGCTTCTCAAGTGGCCATTACTAATTCATGACCCTCTTACTGCCCCCATTGAGCATCCTCAGCAACCTTTTGAGGCTAAAAACTGCAATACAACACATAACAATATTTCGCACAGGCTCTTTTCTTCACTCTCGGCTGTGCCCTTTCACTGAGGGAATGGTTTTTTTTGGTGAATTCAGAAGTACTTCTTACCGCATTTTTTATTTTCCAAGTGCAGTTCCTGTCGTATCAAACTGCTTCATTCCTCTGGCATACTTATGGGTATGAAGGTAAAATTCAGTAATTTTAGTGCACACAGCTGAGAAAGAAGTAAAGGGGCCTGCCACCCCCATTCCCAATTTACAGGAGTATTGTCCCGTGAGGCTGGAACAAGATCCAATAATTTCTCAGTGACCAGAGCAGGCTGTGGATCAGATCCCACACGTGCACATCTTTTGAGTCTGCCCAAAATGGAAACTTTTTGTGCCAATCCACATGTTTGGTTTCGTTCCAGGTTCACTGTCTCCATGGAAGTGGTACCAGCCTGGGCCCCAGCCGTGGGTTTCACGCTCCTGCCCCACGCAGGGGGATTTCTAGGAGGCACTATCACCAAAAAGGAAATCCCAACGTGGTATCAAACCCTGCAGAAGCCATCCTGGTGTCCACCCAACTGGGTGTTTGCTCCTGTGTGGGGAACTCTCTATACATCCATGGGGTATGTCTTAAGGCACTTCACCTGATCTGAGAGTTTCTTACTGGACAGTGCAGGACCAGAGAACTCTCACTGTACTCCTGGGGCTCTGTGTTTGTAAAAAAACTGTGTCAAGCTGCCTGTTGGACAGGTAGAAACCTGTCTGGGGAGTTGTGTGTGGGTTTGATGGGACATTTTGTTTGCACAAACATCCACATCAAAAGCAGGAGCTTGAAAAGCTGCCACTAATTTGCTTTCCTCCTTCATTCTGAGGGAGAGAACCTGCCAAGCTGCAGCACTGGGGTTTCTTTTAAGTATGTCCTTCGGTAGTTTCAGGAAAATTAAAACCAAGTAAATGTGAGGGGCAAGGAGGAGAATTAGGAGAGAACTGTTCTAACAGAGCTGAATTAAAAGAAAGCAAAATCAAAACATACATGCCCTCTCAAATAAAACTGCCAGGCTGCTAAGCTAGAAATGCCTGAAACCATACACTGCCTCCTTCTTTAACAAGTTTAAAATACCTGTCAAATGACCAAGGAATCACAAGGCCAAATACCATTCCCACAGGAACCATCAGAGAATTAATAATGCTGGTTTTTGGCAGCGTGACTGTTACTTTTAATATGATGGAGCAAAACTATTTGTAGAGGCAGGCTGCCTCAGGAATTTGGGAAGTTTTGATCCTCCTCCCTGCTCTAGAAGCACTCAAACACCACGTGCTTCGGTGTAAACTGTGCTGAGCTGTGCCTACCAAAACTCAGTATGTTTTTTCCTAGCTCTCAAACACACACTGTTGCTACTCCAATAATAATGTTGGGGCTGTAATATGCCTGGTTTGGCTCACCCCACCCATTTCTCCCAGGCTTTTAAGCATTTCCCAGCTCCCTTCAAGCTGACTGCACAGTTTGAAACCCTGCTCCTGGATTCCTCATCATAAACCTGGGTATCAGGTTAAAAACCCTGGAGGGAAAAAAAAAAATAATCCAAGTTGTCACAGCTCATCCCTTATTTTGGTAACAGCAGAATCAGTATGTCAGAAGGTGGATGGTCTCAGTTCTGTACTGTACAAAAATATTTAGCTCAGTGAAAAAGATCACACTTACTGCCAGGTTTTCCTCCTGTAATCCATCATGCACACACATTCCTTAAATGATCAGGACCTTTCATTCCTTCAGAATTCCTTCGACTTAGGAGACTGTTAAGTTTCTAATGCTTACCCTGCCCCCTCCTCTCTTTTGCTTTTGTTATTCTCTGCAACCAACCTGCCAAAATATCAAAAGTTGCATTGTTCAGTCTCTGTGAAAGTAAGGGCCAAGAAGCAAGTTTGGGTCACTAAGTGGGTTAAACAAACAAACAAACAAAAATCCTTTTTGTATGACCTACAAATGAAAACAAACTCCCTGCAATTACTCCTAGGGATGTTTGTCTGCTCCTGAGGAAACAGTTCCTCCAAGTTGGTGTCCACTGTTGCTCCACTGCCAGGAGAAATACAACTGAGCCCTTTGCTGTCCAGTTCAGTTCACAGTCTGTATCAGTTTCTGATTCTGAAACAATTCAGGATGTTGGCATTTTATCCAAGGGATTCTACTGTAGTTACCTGGAAAGGCTGTGCAGTCATTTGGACTGAAATCTAAGTCAAATGAGCAAAAGAAGCACTCTCAGCTGGTGAACCTTCCCTGTTCTACTCAGGCTTCTCCAGTGCAAAAATAAACCTGTCATTAGCAGAGCTCCCAAATCTTGTCTTTAGCACCTCGTAAGCTCCCTCCAGCGAACTGTTCTTCTCTGGTATTAAAATCTGTTCAAAATCTTTCGGGGAGATCTTTCAGTAACCAGGATCCTGCAGACCAGGAGGGTGCTGGGTGCTCCTTGTCGTTAATTCCCCAGTTCTCCTAAAATCTTAGTTCTCCCCACCTTCGTCCCTTCCTTCCTTCCTTCCAAAAAGTGACTGGAGGGTTCCTCCTGCTCTAATACCATCCTTCCCCATAACTCAACTGTACCTTGGGGTGCCACTCAATTCCTATTTCTCCTACATTCATTTCATCCACTTCAAAAGTTAGTGGGTTGTGATTTTATTCTTTTATGAAATCTTTAAAGCACCGCCTCCCAGTACCAAAATGAAGTTCCTTCACTCTTTGCATCTTAGACTTGCTTCCATCTCAACCTTAACTTTTGAGACTGAAATGCAGGAGGTCATCCAAAAGTGAGAACTCTGGCAGCATTGGGAATTTTTCTCTCTCCATGTTGTTATCCAGAGCAGCTCATCAAACCTATTCTTTCAGTTGCTCTGCCAAGTAGTACCTGTATATTTAATTTTCCCAATTAATCAATTATTTTAATCCATGTCATTTGATCAGGAATGCGTGGTAGCTTCCTAACCAGTGCAGTGAATTCCACCTTCCCTTCTCTCCCTACAGATACAGCTCCTACCTGGTGTGGAAGGAACTGGGAGGCTTCAACGAGAAGTCAGTGGTTCCCCTGGGTCTGTACGCAGGGCAGCTGGCACTGAACTGGGCATGGACCCCAGTGTTTTTCGGAGCTCACAAAATGGGATGGGTGAGTGGAAAACTGAAGTTTCTCAGTCAAAGGCTTCTCCTCCTGTTTGCAAGGTGCTCAGATGAAAGGTTTGTGTCGTAATCATGAGCCTGAGGGCAGACAAAAGGCTTGCAGAGGTTTTCTGAAGTTCTCTTTAATGCCTGCCAGCAGCCACCTGAGAGGATTTACCTCTCTAGAGCATCCTTAAATGTATGGATTTCAAGCAGCTCTTCCTGCCAACCTTTGGTAAGGGCTCCGTGTGACCAGAAAATGCAAACATTTACGCCTTACTACAATTCCTGGGTCTCTCTGGCAAACAGCAGTGATTGGTAAGAAGCTTATTATCACAACACTATTCAGGTAATCAACACCCATTTATAAGAGACTCATTTTCTGCAGTTCTCTGAAGAGAAAGAGCTTGCCTCGAAAATAGAAAAGTAAAATATTTGCCTGGTTCTCTAGACAAACATGAGATGCTGTAACAGGGGAAGACTTTTTAAAGCCCTTTCTTGTACCTGTTGCATCATCTGATGAGTTGAATCGATTCTTAACCCGGCAGAAATCTGTCTTTTCTTTTTGCTGACTAGTTTTCTGGGAAGGAATTAGCCCACAGAGGGACAGAGCC